TATATCCATTTTAATCAAATGAAGTTTTCATGAAAGCATGGCTGTGTGGAACTGGAAGATCATTCCTTATAAGTATATGGATTTTGCAAAAATAGTTTCTGAAAGAGGCAGCTGTATAGAACTATCTAAAAACTAGTATTCTCACCAAATGTATTTTGAAAAAAAATCACAAGAAATGAAATACTGAAAAATAGTTATTCAGATAAAAGTGACTTTCTGCCTAAATTTGGCCTAAATAAGCATCATTCTTATTACTTATTTTGATGACAAAAATACCTAATATAATATGATATGCATATCTAAGGTTTATGAATACACTTAATCTTAAAGTATATTCCTACAAACTTCCTGTATAAAATTTGAAAAACAACAGATTTCACTAGTTATTGTCACATTAGTGTGTCAGGAAAGATACCTCTCAGATGAGTGAATGCTTATAATCTGTATATTTGTTTTAAAAGATATAGGTTCATTTTTTCAAGGTCATGTTTTTAGGGACTGGTACTGGCATTGTGGAAATAATCTCCACTTATTCTGCTCATAGAAAAAATGCAAAATAAATATGAAGGTCTTAAATTTGATATTTTATTTTCTTCAATATTCTCAGAGTCTAAGGAAGTGAAATATAATGTGAGAATACTTGACTTAGAACAAAGTTGTCAAAAGTCAGAAAGTTTGAAATTTTTTCACTCTTTAGTACCAGTTTGGGATAACATAATGAGTTGTAAATAGGAGTGTATAGATAAATTTTACTAAGAAGGTTGTGAAATGACTGAAATGTAGTTAGTTGAAGAAAAATGATTTCAGCTACAGAACATTTAACATCTGAATGTTGACCAAGTTGTACTTTCAGGTAGTTATTTTAAGAAAGCTATAATGTGCCATAATCAGCATTTAAAACTCCAAAGACTTTATTGTTTCACAGTGTGAGAGAAGGGGGAGCTAGAATTAGTCATTTTAGAGGCTAAAATATGTGAACTGAGTGGGTTTATATCTAATTATCTGGTAATTATAGGAACTATTTGGGCTATTTTTGAGGGGTAGCTTAGTTTGCTGAGACTTAAAGTAATCTTAACTCAGTTATAAATTTTTCTCTTCCTTTTTTTTTGTGTGTGTGTTTTAATTTACAGATCATGGAATCCTCTGGTACACCTTCGGTTACTTTAATAGTAGGCAGTGGCCTGTCTTGCCTAGCCTTGATCACCCTAGCAGTTGTCTATGCAGCGTTATGGAGGTATGTGATCAACTGATAGACTTGAAATGGAATGCTCAGTTGTTCAGTTAAATCAGAGAGTGTGATAACCATGATATGTCTCCTGCCTTCTTAATTTACTGAAAACAGTATTTTTAAAACAGAGTTATAATTGAGTTGTAATAAATGACACATATTTACAGACATACTTTACTTCCAGTTCAAATGATGGTGGTCTTCAACAAGTTGTTTACACTTAAATATGGCATTCTTATATCATTCAGTCTCTGTGTGGTTTTTATTTATCCCAATTGCTATTGATCCAGAGTGTTTAATTGATACTATCAAATTAATTTTTATAGAAATATGATTTCAAGTTTCAAACACATACTTTCAGCATGTCCAGTAAAGCCCTTCTTTAATATTAAAGCATTAATATAATATCACACTACTCTAGAAAAAATTTTTTGGTTGAGTATAATAAATTGACTTTGACAAATTGATTATAAGAAATCAGAAAAATTCATAAACAAAGATAAGTGTTTGAAATTTTCTCTTATAAGATATTTGAAATTGAATCTATTGGATATTACATGGAAATTTGGTATTTCTCTAAGTTCTGTAACATGTTTTATTCTACTAGCAAGAATTAGACCTGTGAGGTTGATTATAACTACTCACACACAGAGAGTGAGTATCTAACCACAAGGTTGAACTTTCTAATGGATTTTATACTTCAAAATGTTAAATAACTTTCTTTTGTCTATGTATATTATTTTAAATTATCTACAATGAAGTAACAATAATGGTAGATAATTACCTATTGCTTTCTGAATATTTTCAATACTAAAATTACAAAAGTTTATGTTTCTACCTCAAAGAGCTCTAAGTTTTTATCTGTAAATTTTAAATAATCAGTTAAAAATTAAAATTAATTATAATTTAAGAGGGAAGGCCACTAGAATTATCATCCTTTAAATACAATCATTGTTCTCCATTATAATTTTTGAGAACAAAAAAGTAATAGTCAAAGTTATTTAATTATCAAAAATATTAAGAATTTTCATGCCCCATACAAAAATAAAATATGCACATAATTTGGCCTATTGGGACAGGCACATAACAGAAGTTCTACATCTATGAGAAAAAGTTATCTGGTAGTACAAACACAGATGAAGTCAGACAATCTGATAAAATATGGCCAATTTCAGGAAACAGAAGAAAAGCTTAGTCTAGGTGTGACATTGTAGGCAAGGCAATCCTAGGTTTGGGACTCAGTCAGTCATCTTGTCCTGGAATATACAAATGGACAAAGGCTGGGGAGATGATTTCTCCCCTACAATTGTATGAATGACATTTCCTTTTGAAAATTAGAGAGTATTTAAGGCCCAAAGTACTAAGTAATCATGCTAACATCATAAATCATACTCCCTGGAGAATTTAGAGCTAAATTCCACTTCTCAGCATTTAGGGTTCAGGTACCAATTCCACCTTCTCTTCACCCTTCAATACATATCATTAACACTAGTATAAACAATGTCAGTTAAATTATATGTAAAATTAATCATAGAAATACAGGATTAATTGGTTCCTAAAGAAGTTTTCTTTAAGCCAGAAAATCATTTCCTATAATAGTAAAATTAAACATGAAATTCAGAATTATAGAAGGAAAGTTCAAAGAAACAAATCTGTATCCCTAAGAATTAAGAGGTCATCAAATGACTATTCACCTATAGAAGAAATGAGCTAATAGTCACATTTTGAAAGTGTCAAGACCCATGAACTACTAAGTGCAAATTGTAGCATGATGAATCCAAGCATTTTATAAACATCTTATTTATAACATTACTGGAAGGTAATAAGGATGTGAAGTTTTCTTTAACTTTTTTTTTTTTTTTTTTTAAAGAGAGAGTGAGAGAGAGGAGAGAGAGAGAGAGAAATTTTAATATTCATTTTTTAGTTCTCGGCGGACACAACATCTTTGTTGGTATGTGGTGCTGAGGATCGAACCCGGGCCGCACGCATGCCAGGCAAGCGCGCCACCACTCGAGCCACATCCCCAGCCCCCTTTTTTTTTTAAATAATAAAAATTTTTAGGATTTTTGGCTTTATAATGATTTAAAAAATGTATAAGCATATTATTCTATAAGGAAATTATTTCATATGTAATGTTATTTTGGAATTTATTGGTATTCTATGTAGTTTATCAGAAATGTTCCTCAAAATTTTAATACAAGGCTAGATGTGTAGCTAAGTGGTAGAGCAATTGCTTATAGTACATTTAATCCCCAGAACTGAAAAAGAAAAAAATTAATACAAGCGTGCTCTCTCCATTTATAGATATATTCTGTAGAATTATATTGTTACATCAAAGAGCAATTAAATATGTTGTTTTAAATGGGATGTTGACATGAAGCATTTATAAATTTAGTTTAAAATATCAAACATGGTAGATAAAAGTACTGAAAGGTGAGACATTTGAAAGCAATTTGCAAGGTACCAATATTGCTCAATATTGATGAAAATGGAAATATCTTCAGAGTCTTCGGGTTGGTCAGTTCTGGATCTTTTATTACTCTAATTTTTAATATTTACAATGCAAAAATATCATTGAAATACTCTTTTAATAACATCATCTGGAAACCACTAACATCATGTAAAGGGTTAATATAATAAAGTCCTTAAACTTATATTAATTGCTCCAACCATAAAAAGAAGGGCAACTTAATATCTGATGATGTCTTTAGCATCCCAGTGTGTGGTTTATTACATGTGTATCTTCAGGACAAAGGGAAAAGGCTCCCCATCTCTTGAAGCCATTTTGTGTTTAGAATTGACCTAGGTTAGTCCTGTTTAGGTTTTTTTATTTGTTTCATTTTGTTTGAAATTTTTGTTTCTGCAAAAAAAAGATGAATTTATTTCATATTATAAAATCTCCTTTTTGTATTTTAGTGTCAATCCTGTTTTTCTTTCACTTTTATTTCTAAAATATGTGATGGGATGTGGGGCCTCTTTCTGCCTAAATCCTTTTCAAAGGCAGGGGTGGGTGGAGGGATGAACTTTGGTAGATTTTATCTTACAAAGGTGCCAGATCTTTGGCACTCCCTCCTAACATTGCACAGGTAATCCCATGCCTGCTGTGGGATGTGATTCCCTTTTCTAAAACAAATTGAACAGGCTGAAACACACAGCCAAGTACAAGGTTGTCTTTTAGTTACTGTCACTTAGTGATTTACCACAAGGTATAGTGAAACAAAATAGCTGTTACCCTTTCAGGGTAAATAGCTGGCAGAACGTTTGATTCTGAGCAGATTTTGCTATGGTTTATAATATTGATGTACTTATAAACCATGTAACATATTATTTATAAATATTTCATCTTAAGGATTAAAAAAATGGTAGATAATAACTAATGTTTTGGCCTAATAGTGAATTATCATTTGTGAATGTGACTCTTTTTTTTTTTTTTTTTTTCCACTGGGGATTGATCCCAGGAGTGCTCCACCACTGAGCTACACCTGCAGCCCTTTTTATTTTTATTATTATTTTTTATTTTGAGTCAGGGTCCCAGTAAGTTGATTAGGGCCTGGATAAGTTGCTGAGACTGGCCTCAAATTTGTGATCCTCCTGCCTCAGCCTGCCAAACAGCTGGAATTATAGGCATGTGCCACTATGCCCAGCTAATTGGAGCCATTTTTAAAGATAAAGATTTCTTTTTTTGTTTGTTTGTTTAGAATAGTTATTCAGGAACATAACTAACAACTTAAATGCATAAAAATGCTTGAGTGGATGAAAGTTTTCATGAAAGTAACAACATCCTTGTAGTAAACAGGATTGATAATTGAGAATCTGTATAGGGTTTACATTTTGGTTCTAGAGTTCTATTGGTTGAGGTACTACCAAACATTTTAATGTACAGATATCCACATATTTACAAAAGTAATAACACTAATGGATATATTTCCAAGAAATGTTTTATGTCTAATAAGAATTTATCATGATCACAGATATGAAAGTTACACTCTTTCAGAAATGCCATATTGTCCACACTAATATCTAAGGAAGAAAATAAGTCTGAAAGGCACTTGAATATGACATGTAATATAAAATTAGGTCTCTAAGAAAAAAATTATGAAAAACTTTTCATGTTTTTATTTGTGTGAAGGTTGTATGTTAGTGCTTCTTTTTTCCAGATGAATTCCACCAATTGCACAATACAGAATTCTTCATCTGTTGAATATTAAAGTTGGACACTCTTTCTCTCTCTGGCTAGGTACATACGCTCTGAGAGGTCCATAATTTTAATTAACTTCTGCCTGTCTATCATCTCATCCAACATCCTCATACTGGTTGGACAAACTCAAACACATAATAAGGTATGACTGGTAATTACTCTGATTCTCTTTGTGTGTTTATATTTTGGTGTATAGTTGATTATGGAAAATGTAATTGTTTATTCTGGAGACTATATAATAGTAAAAATGTTTGTTAAACATACTATCAAAGCTCTATGAGTTCAAAGGCTTGAGACATCAAAAGCAAATATTTTATTTATTTTCCACTTGTAATCAGATCCACTCATAACCAGATACAGTGCCTGTGTTTGGGTCTAATTTATTAACACCTAATTTATTAACACCTGCTTTTAAAACTTCACTTTCAAAAATGTCCATAGTTAATAATCAAAGAGAGTGTTAGGTGAAAGTGAGTGTAGGTCTAGGTTTTATACTTTTTACTAACCAGAGATTTTTTTTTTGATACTTAACCAACATTGCAGTTATTTAACTATATAGTTACTTTTTTTTAGCAGAATGTAAAGTATATATCTTATTTATGTAAGTTGACCAATTTATTTGAGTTGAATGGCCATGTTTTTTCCAGAAAAGACTAGTCTTTACTGAACAACTCTGAAATACATTCTAAGAAAACCATAATAGCAATCTTAAATTAACTTACCCTAGCCTCAAAGGGATTCTGTTCACTACCACTTTGAAAATTTAGTTGTCATGTTTTTAGGCTTCTTCTTTTTTCATCTTTTTTTAAAAAAATTTAAATACTAAAGCCAATAGTTGAACTTATCCCCCATAATATGACACTTAAAAAAAAAAGCAACCCAATAAAGAGCACCCTAGAAATAAAAAGTACTTTCATATATATGAATGCCCACCTCCTGTACCATTTCCCTTATGTGTATTTTCTTCTTAAAAAAAAAAAAAGATGTGAAAGCATATCAGGTCTATTAAAATATAGTTCAAGTCAATGTTGTTAACATTTAATACAAATTTAAAAACAAATAGTAATAGATGGAAAAAAAGGATAATGGAGAAAAAAAAAGGACTGAAGGTGGGGGAGAGGAGACAGAAACCATAAAATATCCAGCAGATGAAAAATGAGGATAAACAGGAGTTTCAGCTGAGGAGAAAGAAAATGAGGAGGGACAGAGGGGGAGGAAGTACAGAAAAAGGAGAGGCAATGAGACTAAGCCTTAATGAATTATGAATTATTCATGCCACCTTTCCCTTTTTGGTCCTCTATTTGGACTGTGCTTCAGATCTTTACAAATCCTTCTTTACCTATTTTTATTTCTTTGACTGATTGTCCTTGAACTTCCACCCAGAGATCTTTAGTAGGAAATATGGTTTAAAAACTTTTCTGTACTATATGGCTTAGTTTTGCAAGTTCTGAGCCAAATATTAGAGTATAAATTCTCTGTAAGGTTTACTACACATTATAATTGTCTAAAGCACACATCATATGTTCCAAATCACTGCTAAGTGCATAAAAATGTTTGAGTAGATGAAAGTTTTCATGAACATAACAACATCCTTTTAGTAAACAGGATTGATAGTTGAGAATCTGTGTAAGGTTTTTGTAAATGATCCAATAGAAATACAATGCATGACACAAATACAAACCATATATATAGTTTAAAGTTTTTAAGAAGCTACATGTAAAAAACTAAAAAGAAACAGGTGAAATTCATTTTAATACACTTAACTCAATAAAATAATAATATTCCTACTTTAATATATAGTTAATATACAATTATTAATATAATATTTTACCTTCTTGTTAAAGTCTTCAGAATCTGGCCCATATTTTATACTTATAATACTACTCATTTGAACAAGCTGCATTACAGGTGCTTAAGTGATTACACGTATTCAATGACTACCATATTGTAATGGTCCAAATGGTAATAATATTCAGAAACTAAAATTGTCTCAAAAAATTACATTCTGCCTGCTTATTTTGGCCTTTGCAGATTTTTAAATGTCCTACTTATTAAAAAATGTAGTTCTGATTCTTCAAATATTATGAATATCAAAGGCAAAATAAGACTTTTACTTTACATTTCTAATTGTGAGAAATGGGTACTATGTGCTTATTTAAGAAAAAAAAAAAGGTTGGGTTCCTCCCAAGGAAACAAACTCAAAAAAAAATTTAAGGGGGCTTAAGGACCATAATGAATCTGTTCTAGATTGACTGCTGTTAGATATTGATGCTTATTGGGAGGAGTGGACAGTGATGCTGGTATTATGTGGTTTTCTCTTATTCTATGTTAATTTTGCATCAACAGTTCTGCAAGCTTAGGACAATTTACATTAAAGTGAACAAGAGACAAAAATAGAAAAATAAAAGCTGGAAGTTTATTCTAGGTCATTCTAGATAATACTAAGTGTTACAATGGGCAAAATTGTGTATTTTATTATGTATATATTTGGAATAAGTTGTTCCTGTTGAGTTTATATGTGAAATTTTGGTTTGTCAAAGGTATTTTTGTTTAACTGTATTTGGGATTAATACCCCCCATACACACCAAAAAGAAGATGAATGAGAAAAAGGAATTTTATCTATATAAATGATAAATTAAAAAAAATAAAAAGTATTAATTAATGGCTACAGTATTATATTTAGGTTGTATGTTGGAATCTTTCATGTTGTGGGTGCAATTGTTGTTGTAGTTGATCTGATTTCCATTTTTTACTTCCCTGATGTTTTGATTGATGTGATAGTATTTCCTACTTGGAAAATGGAAACATCCGAGATTCTTGATGACCAAAATATTTGATATTGTCTCTGAGAGTCGTCATGTCTAGTTTGTAGGAGAACTGGTATTTGATGCTAATGTCTAGAATAATTTTGAAGTGTCAAACTGGAGTCTTTCTCTGAACTACTTGTTGAAATTTAATTGACCTGATTATCTTACTACAAAGTCTCTTTGCTTCCTTTTGAATTAAGATAGAAACTAGGCAAAATAATCTATGTTTAAAATGTGAACATATTCAGATTTTTAAAATGTAGATTCAAATTTCTGGCAGCAAAGTAAGGCTTCAAATACAATTTCCTACATCTCTTCTTAAAATGCACTTGTAAAATTTAATTATAATTCACTTCATTATATTTTCAGCTTTCTTATAAAGCAACTTTGCCCTTTGATCTCTTTATTCATTTAAAATTTCAACCAGGATGTTCATGTATCATTTATTTGTAAAGAATTTTTTTTTACACATTGTGTGTGTGTGTGTGTGTGTGTGTGTGTGTGTGTGTATTAAGCATTTGTTACTATTGTTTTGCAGAAAGCAAGGATCATTTCAGAAACATATATTCACAAAATAGTTTTGTTAATCACAAAAAGATATTTCTGCTTCTTTCCAAACTACTTTGGGGGTAATTTGTCATATTAATGATTTTAATGATTCCATAACACTCACTTTAACTGATGGAAGCCAAATTCGGCGAATTTTTGGTGGTTTTTTTTTTTTTTTTTATGTATGTGTGTGTGTGTGTGTGTGTTAGATAGTGGTGAATAACCAAGAAGTTCAAAGTGCCGAAAGTTAGTTTTCTGTCCTACAACCTCACTACCAGATTATGATAAAAAGCAAATCTAAGTCAAAGTTTTATCCTACATTCAGATATTTATTAGATACTTATTACCAAACCAGGAACAACTTTGTTTATATAAATTCAGTGAAACCCTAGGTTTTTATCCTTTGGAAGTTTTGACCACTCCCTGTGGATATTTTAACTAGAGGTGGGCATTGCAACACTCCAGAAAAAGGATTCTGTGACCTTTGGCAAGCAGTCTTCAATCAGAAATCTTCCTAATCCAATGCCTGGACACAGAATTATTGGGGCTAAAACAGTGCATCCTACCTCTAAGAAGTCCAGGATATAAACCTAAATGAAATCTATTTACAGTTTGTTCAAGAATAAAACTGCTTAACAGTGTTAGCCAATCCATATACCCTGAATGCCTTTATTTTCCCTGAAGGGAATCCAATAATACAACCATTATAGTTGATTAACTAGAGTTATCAATAAGGACATATCTTTTACTTTCAGTTTAATTATGAGTGAAGGGTTGATTGTGATAGATACACTTAGATCATGTTGTCCTTGTTTCTTATGAAGTAAGGACTTTACAAAAATAATGTCAGTTAACCATGGTTGGTGTATTCTTCTACTACTCTTTCAATTAAGGGTTAAAAATTGGCATATATATGGTATCATATTGGCATATGTGTATGTATATACATACATACACATTTGTGTATATGATGTCATGTTGAAAATTCCAGATTATTATAATAAAATTACAGACATTCTAACAAGCATGAAAAATAATATTTTGAAAATAATCAAAAGTGTAAGAGGATAAAATAGATACCATCTTCAGTCTCAAGAGACCTAGGAATCAAAACAAAATTCCTCACTGACAGATGAAGAGAATTTTCCAAATTATTTGGAATAAGCAGACATTTTCTTTAAAAAATTAGTAACTTTATCTCATAGTTGCATTGAATTACAGAATGAGCTATGTCTTCTAATTCAGCTTTGCAAAAGATACAGAAATTTTCTGTCTAGGAGCACTTTTTAAAAGTCACATATTCTACAAAGCTGTTTTACTTAATTTTGTACTTATTTACTTTTGTGTGTGTGTGTGGTGCTGGGGATTGAACCCATGACCTTGTGCATGCAAAGCAAGCACTCTACTGACTAAGCTATATCCCCAGCCCTTATTAATTCTTTTATAAAAGTGCTATTTATTCAGTAATTTGTCAAGAGATAATGAGTAAAGGTGACCAAATTAGAAGACTATGACTGTTCTAATGGAAGAGGCTTTTGTTTTATCAGAATCATGCTGTTTAAAAGTAAAATCTTGAATTTGAATATTTTTTAACTGAAATAAGCATCTAACTCTCCCATGACTTTCTTTTGCCATAGATCAGACTTCTTTACACATTTACTGATATGCTTGCCCTCTAACTGACTACCTGTTTTCAGATTTTGAGAAGGAATATTGAATATGTGCTTCCTAGTTACCCATTCTGTCCCCTGCATATCCTCTAAAGCACATGCCCTGTCCTTGAGA